TTCAGACGTGTGCTCTTCCGATTCCCCAAAACCCCAAAACCCCAAAACCCCTTCGAGAAATATTTGATGAAAGGGGTGCGTAACTTGAACAGGTATACAAATAATAATGAGGTATAAAGCTTTGCTAATATATTAGAAACAATCGATAATGTCTTCGAACGATATTTCTTAAAAATTTACCATTTTTACATCTTAAACTGTCTTTTTTCAATCTTTCTTTTAGTGTAACATTTTTTTTTCACTTCTCTTGTGAGTCTTAGAATGACTCTATCAAAATATTAGGCTTATATTGCTTACTTTGAGATTAAAATTTGTGAAAAAAGATTTATTGCAGATCTCACATTGAAATCTTTTTATACCTGTATGCACTTCAATATGTTTATTGAGATTAGCTTTCTGTGTGAAACTGAAGTTACATCCTGGTTCGGCGCAGACATATGGCCTCTCATTTGTGTGGATCCTTAGATGGTCGAAAAAATTGTGCCACTTACGGAATTGTTTCCCACACTCATCGCACTATAATATTTTTACTAAACGCTTTGACTTTGGATTCTTGAATGTGAAGATTCTGTAATTCTAGGTTGATGGTACGTGTTTTTTTATTCTTACTGAATTTAAATCGAAAGACCTGCCTGTTTAAATATGTACACTTAAGTCCTCTGGGATATCTTTGAATTTATTATTTAATTCCTTGATAGTAGAAACCTTTTGATAATAGTCACCTTTTGTGGTTTCTGTAGTAGAAATTAAGGAATCCTTAGTAGGGGTGTTTTCCCTAGTTTTCTCATTTATGCTATCTTAAATCTGGGTTAGACTATGTAGCATTTAATCCAGCTCATTTCCTGAATCGGTGCTTGCTTAACTTTGGTTGTTCGAACTAAATAGCACCTGAGGGCTGATTTACCTTGCTAGAGGTGGCTGTTGCATATTACTGCAGGTATTTACTCCTTAGAATGATAACATTGGAGAATTACTGGCTGTGCTACATAAACTATTTTGGAAAACTTAATTTCTCATTTAATGTACGGCTAATAGACCTTAGATTACTTGATTCATAGAAGGCAGAGGAGCCCAAATACTTTATTGAATAGGCTGTGGGTTGTAGTTGAAGTATTGAAAAGATTGTTGCATGGCTAGAGAGTAGTATAACGAGTAGTTTTATGTTTGATATGTTATTATAATTCATTAATCTTAATTACCACTGTACTCATTATTTTAAAAAGAGGTATAGAAAACACAATGGGGTTTTGGGGTTTTGGGGTTTTGGGGTTTTGGGG